CCACCTCCTTTGTTTTAGGCAGGAAGTTATATAGGGCAGGGAAAGTTATTAACTCTACAGTGCCTAGTACAATCTTGAGATTCGTATTAAATATAGATGCCAGGGTTTTTACTGGCTAATATATGTTTATTAGCCTAAGGAAAAAATAAGCTAATCTTTCAGTCCATTTCCAATGAACAAGTAGGCACTTCATAAAAGCAGCACCACGTGGAATTATGCTACTGACAATCTCTGCAGAGACCAGGAACTGAACTAGCATGGTACCTGAACCACACCTCAGAGGGTCCTTCAAGAGAAGGGTTGAGATGCATTGGAAGATCAAATTGGGGTTGTTGGCCCAACTACTGCAGCCTCTGTTTGGGGGGAGGGGGAGAGGAGGGAGGAGACTATAAAGACTATTTTCTATAAGAGATCCAGCTCTTCCCCCAAGGTGGAGTTTGCAGGGCTTACTTTGTTTTTGTCCCAAATTTTAACTCCCAAAATGGGGTAAGCATGTACATTTTTCTCTAACAATATTATAGCATTAGTCTCAATGTTCACACCTGAAAAGAAATGAGAATACCATGTCAATAGTGGGTAGATACATGTGTATAACAGAGGAAGTTAATTAATAACGGGTAGTTGAATGGTGGTATATCTGTACCTTTTTGTTATGACAAATCCAGCTGAGGCAAGAATCTTTTTAGTCCATTTGTTTATAGGTGTAAGTTTTCACTGTACATACTGTGGGCTTGAGTCATACACAAGATTCTTCTTTAAGAGAGCTTTGCTTTTATCCTGCCATCAGCCTTAAACAAAACACCCTGCTATTTAAGCCCTTTGTTCCCCACTTCCCAGCGAGAAGAGTGGAACAAATGCATATTCTCTTTCTGGAGATGAGCTAGTTAGATATTTTACAAGTGGAGGCATTAATAAGTGAAGCATCCGTGGCCTATTAACGGACAGGAGAGACAACATGGTGCAGGGGACAAAGCACTGGACTGGACTCAAGCTATCTGGCTTTTATTGCCATTGCTGCCAGTGACATGCTGTGCAACTTTGGTCAAGTCAGTCACTTCACCTCCCTGAAACCTCCATTTACTCTTCCACCCTGTGTCTCATCCAGGTAGACCAGAAGCTGCTGGGATAGCAACTGTCATGTGTCTGTACAGTGTATAACACAATGGGGTACCTAGTCCCAGCTGGGGTCTCCAGGCCCTACTGTAATGTTAACACCACATTATCAGCTATTTATCTCTTCCCAGCCCCTCCCTTTCTAGAGTCCCTCTTCCTCTGCCCAAGGTCTATAGTTCTACACTTATCTCCAACTTCTACAGATATCAGATATGTAGACTTCTCTCTCCAGTGAGTTATAAATGAAGTATTGACTGGGGGCGTGCTGTACTACAAAGACAGACGCAAGATACAGACAAGCAGTTACAGCAGAACACGTTCAAGACTTATTAGGGCATGTCCATCACTGGAAATGCTGGCAGATAGCATCAGTATTCTTTGCAAATGGCACCACTTACTCACTGAAGCCAAGAAACTATATGCAGTCCAACATATTGGATTCCTGTAGTCTTTCTGGTCCTTTATATAGTAGTTCACCCCACTTTTACAAGAGAACTTTCAAAGGAGAAGGAGTTTGGAGCGCAGGTGATATTCTCTTAGATTCTTCCTGTCAAAGGTAGGGGCCCGGGCAGAGACAGGTGCATCATGGAGGTGACTGCCTGGCTGCGAAGATGGGCTTTGGCTTCCTCGACCACAGGATGCTATTCCAGGAAGGACTGCTAGGCAGAGATGGCATTCACCTTTTGAGGAGGGGAAGACCCTATTTGGACACAGACTGGCTAACCGAGTGAGGAGGGCTTTAAACTAGGTTCGACGGTGACAGGTGAGCAGAGCCCACAGGTAAGTGGGGAACATGGAGACCTGGGAGATGGGTTGGAAATAGGAGGGAGAGTGGGCTATAATGACAGAGAGAAAGGAGGGTCAGGGCAAAATTGGGAGGCAAGATCAAATCAGTATCTTAAATGCCTATATACAAATGCAAGACGTATGGGTAATAAGCAGGAAGAACTGGAAGTGCTAATAAATACATACAACTATGACATTGTTGGCATCACCGAAACTTGGTGGGATAATACACGTGATTGGAATGTTGGTGCGGATGGGTACAGCTTGCTCAGACAGGGGAAAAAGGGAGGAGATGTTGCCTTATATATTAAAAATGCACACACTTGGACTGAGGTGGAGATGGATATAGGAGATGGAAGTGTTGAGAGTCTCTGGGTTAGGCTAAAAAGGGGTAAAAAAAACAAGGGTGATGTCATGCTAGGAGTCTACTACAGGCCACCTAACCAGGTGGAAGAGGTGGATGAGGCTTTTTTTAAACAACTAACAAAATCATCCAAAGCCCCATCCTGCTGGAAAGGATGTGGGACTTCAACTATCCAGATATTATGTTGGGAAAATAACACAGCAGGGCACAGACTATCCAATAAGCTCTTGGACTGCATTGCAGACAACTTTTTATTTCAGAAGGTTGAAAAAGCTACTGGGGGGAAGCTGTTCTAGACTTGATTTTAACAAATAGGAAGGAACTCGTTGAGAATTTGAAAGTAGAAGGCAGCTTGGGTGAAAGTGATCATGAAATCAGAGTTCACAATTCTAAGGAAGGGTAGAAGCGAGTACAGCAAAATAGAGAATGGATTTCAGGAAGGCAGATTTTGGTAACTTCAGAGAGCTGATAGGTACGGTCCCATGGGAATCAAGACTGAAGGGAAAAACAACTGAGGAGAGTTGGCAGTTTTTCAAAGGGACACTATTAAGGGCCCAAAAGCAAGCTATTCTGCTGGGTAGGAAAGATAGAAAATGTGGCAAAAGACCACCTTGGCTTAACCACGAGATCTTGCATGATCTAAAAAATAAAAAGGAGTCATAAAAAATGGAAACTTGGACAGATTACAAAGGATGAATATAGGCAAACAACATAGAAATGCAGGGGCAAGATTAGAAAGGCAAAGGCACAAAATGAGCTCAAACTAGCTACAGGAATAAAGGGAAACGACGACTTTTTATCAATACATTAGAAGCAAGAGGAAGACCAAGGACAGGGTAGGCCTACTGCTCAGTGAGGCGGGAGAAACAGCAAGAGGAAACTTGGAAATGGCAGAGATGCTTAATGACTTCTTTGTTTCGGTCTTCACCGAGCAGTCTGAAGGAATGCCTAACATAGTGAATGCTAATGGGAAGGGGGTAGGTTTAGAAGATAAAATAAAAAAAAGTTAAAAATCACTTAGAAAAGTTAGATGCCTGCAAGTCACCAGGGCCTGATGAAATGCATCCTAGAATACTCAAAGAGCTAATAGAGGAGGTATCTGAGCCTCTAGCTATTATCTTTGGAAAATCATGGGAGACAGGAGATATTCCAGAAGACTGGAAAAGGGCAAATATAGTGTCCATCTATAAAAAGGGAAATAAAAACAACCCAGGAAACTACAGACCAGTCAGTTTAACTTCTGTGCCAGGGCAAGTAATTAAGGAAATCTGCAAACATTTGGAAGGTGGTAAGGTGATAGGGAATAGCCAGCATAGATTTGTAAAGAACAAATCATGTCAAACCAATCTGATAGCTTTCTTTGATAGGATAACGAGTCTTGTGGATCAGGGCGAAGCGGTGGATGTGGTATACCTAGACTTTAGTAAGGCATTTGATATGGTCTCGCATGATATTCTTATCAATAAACTAGGCAAATACAACTTAGATGGGGCTACTATAAGGTGGGTGCATAACTGGCTGGATAACTGTACTCAGACAGTAGTTATTAATGGTTCCCAATCCTCCTGGAAAGGTATAACAAGTTGGGTTTCCGCAGGGGTCTGTTTTGGGACCGCCTCTGTTCAATATCTTCATCAACGACTTAGATATTGGCATAGAAAGTACGCTTATTAAGTTTGCAGATGATACCAAACTGGGAGGGATTGCAACTGCTTTGGAGGATAGGGTCATAATTCAAAATGATCCGGACAAATTGGAGAAATGGTCTGAGGTAAACAGGATGAAGTTTAACAAAGACAAATGCAAAGTGCGCCACTTAGGAAGGAACAATCAGTTTCACACATACAGAACGGGAAGAGACTGTCTAGGAAGGAGTACGGCAGAAAGGGATCTAGGGGTTATAGTGGACCACAAGCTAAATATGAGTCAGTGTGATGCTACTGCAAAAAAAGCAAACATGATTCTGGGATGCATTAACAGGTGTGTTGTGAGCAAGACACGAGAAGTCATTCTTCTGCTCTACTCTGCGCTGGTTAGGCCTCAGCTGGAGTATTGTGTCCAGTTCTGGGCACCGCATTTCAAGAAAGATGTGGAGAAATTGGAGAGGGTCCAGAGAAGAGCAACAAGAATGATTAAAGGTCTTGAGAACATGACCTATGAAGGAAGGCTGAAAGAATTGGGTTTGTTTAGTTTGGAAAAGAGAAGATAGAGGGGACATGATAGCAGTTTTCCAGTATCTAAAAAGGTGTCATAAGGAGGAGGGAGAAAACTTGTTCACCTTAGCCTCTAAGGATAGAACAAGAAGCAATGGGCTTAAACTGCAGCAAGGGAGGTTTAGGTTGGACATTAGGAAAAAGTTCGTAACTGTCAAGGTGGTTAAACATTGGAATAAACTGCCTAGGGAGGTTGTGGAATCTCCATCTCTGGAGATATTTAAGAGTAGGTTAGATAAATGTCTGTCAGGGATGGTCTAGACACTATTTAGTCCTGCCATGAGGGCAGGGGACTGGACTCAATGACCTCTCGAGGTCCCTTCCAGTCCTAGAATCTATGAAAGCATTGTACCGTACCCCCTATGTGAAGCTTGTATACACGCTGCTGTGTACGTACATACATCCACACAAAAATACATGCCTGGTATGTTATAGTTTGATGTTGTACCTTTTAGAGGAAAATGAGGGGGCACTGCATCACTTAAGGTTTATAACCTTAATGGCTAAAAGTTAATCATACTAACCTTTGCAGTTGATGTCAACAACTACTTCTTCTTTGTCCATGGTTTCCAGTAGTTGTCTAACCTCTTCACAGTTTCCATTTCTAGCATCATGGAGAAGCTGCTGTTCTGCTTCAGTGATCATATCTAATAGATTATAAATACAGACTATTAGTTGTTATAGCTTCATTCCTCCTCTCCTCCCCAGGACAAAAGTTATAGCATAACTTCATGCCAAGATAAAACAGACTATACTATAGCCAAAAGTTATGTGCTCACTTAGGCTCATTCTGCTTGGGATATGAATATTTAGAATACTAAAGACTGCACGGATATGGCTTAGATGAAAGATGTTCTACTTACTGGCCACTTTCAGTTCAGATACCTAATGAGCAAACAACACTATTGCTACAGATGTCATTTATATATAATCAATGACTTTTCCCCTTTTCCTCCATCCACCTCTTAAAGCTTTGAGACAACATAAGTAGTTTATACTGTTTAGTCTGAGTGCTTGGCTGGGGATTAATTGGAGTCCTTTTAGCAATAGAAATCAACTGGAGAACAGAGCCAGTTAGCGTTTGTGGGGTGAGAATGCATGGAAATTCCAATTGTCCACTGGCTACCTGAGGTGACAGGAAGGATGAGCCATTGAAATAAGCATCCACAAGAGACAATCCTTTATTTTAAAAAGGCCCATCAGCATGAGGTGAACTAGAACTGGCCCTGCTCAGCACTGTTGTGTGCTCTTTTACAGGGTCTTGTATTACCATGATTGTTGTATTCTTAGGACCTCATAAAAAGGGACAATAGCACAATGCTAGCCCAATGGAAAAATTTAAGCAACTGGGTGGGCAACAGTACCATTTACTCAAATTCTTCTCTTAAATGTTGCATTTTTTTCTTATATAAACAAGACTGAGTCCATTTGTTATCCTCACACATGCACATGTCCCATGAATTATACACCAGAAAATGTATTCCTGGTTTGCTGCTTACTACAACAAAACTGCCTCAAGATACAGCACAACTCAAAACTACCTGCAAGAAATCCTCAAATCATAAGTGAAGTGTGACCTCTTTGAAAAGAGTCAGGGAGCCGCTTTTATACAATAGCCTGCAAAGAGTGTCCTTCTGCAATATGCAGTAAGCTACTGTTGCCAAGAGCATCAGCAGACTAGCAAGTTGGCAGAGGATAGAAACCAGGTCTTGACAAGACCACTAGACCAGGGATAGGCAACCTATGGCATGCGGGCCAAAGGCGGCACGCGAGCTGATTTTCAGTGGCACTCACACTGCCCGGGTCCTGGCCACTGGTCCAGGGGGGCTCTGCATTTTAATTTAATTTTAAATGAAGCTTCTTAAACATTTTAAAAACCTTATTTTACATACAACAATAGTTTAGTTATATATTATAGACTTATAGAAAGAGACCTTCTAAAAAATGTTAAAATGCATTACTGGCACACAAAACCTTAAATTAGAGTGAATAACTGAAGACTCGGCACACCACTTCTGAAAGGTTGCCAACCCCTGCACTAGACATGCAAGGATTGCCTACACTGAATCCTGCAGAAGCAAAATCTCCAGTGAGTGAAAGTTAACTTTTTGCCCCTATGGTTGCAAAGAGACTACCAAGTGTTAACCGAGTTTACTATTCTGCATAGTTTTCCTGCCAGCAAAGATCTCCAGTAGTTCTGCTGCTTCTCATAATTTCACTTGGCTGCTTGGGAAAGCTAACAAGACTGATCAGTTATGTAACACTTATTCAGAGTTCGGTGAGCAGTGTTTACAGTAGATTGAAATAGGAGGGAGCTCTCACTGCACCAGCCAAAGAGGAGGGACAGCAATGGGGGACCATAGCCAGAGAAGGGACTCCCTTTGCCTGGGAGCTACTCATGGGAAGGACCCAGAAAGAGGAAGGCTAGTAGAGTTGGGGGTAAACTGTGAAAGTCACATAAAACCACACACATTGCAGCACCCTAAGAGGCTGGGGAATGTACAGTAGCAGAGGCAAGCCTTCCAAAGACACTGGTTCTGAAGAAGATAGATTAGCAGCTGAGAGGGGGGAAAAAGAGGAATCTTCAGGTTGAATCAAAAGCCTCCTTGCCAGAAGCCAGCATGGAAGATTGAGCAACCCCTCTCCCCCAAGCAGGGTCCAGGAAGAGTAACCTGATTTAAATCCCAGCAGACTGGAATTGTAAGGGGGACCTCGTGCACACAACTTGTCTTCTCAGAAGGCACTGCCACTCATCTTTTATGTCTATCTCTGACTAACAGGTTTCTGGTGATCTTCAGGCCCTGGAGCTAGCCTTTCTTGAATGAGCCCTCTTCAAGAAGGTACCATTCTTTACTTTGTCTTTGAGAACTAATATAGCTGCAGAATTTCTGTATCCATTAAACACATGCTAGTTGTGTAACACCCATAATACTAGAAACTACGTTACAAAACTCACTTCCTAAAGGGAAGGAACTCATAAGCACATGCCAGTCAAATACAGACAATTTAACAATACCATCATACCAAACTAGGAGTTCTGCCACAGACAAGTCTACCACACATTGAGAACAGATACACACAAGGAATAATGGACAGGTATATTAGGAATACCCAAACCACGACAGAGGTCATGGAACAAAAGCCTTATTTTAAGCCAAGAAAATATGAGTGAAGTGTGATCAGTGAATAGTCTGGAACACTGCTTCTCAAGCTATGAAGCGTGATGCCTTTCCTGGTGGCCCCCAGAACGCAGTGAGAACCTAAGAGGAGGCAGCCATGAGGAGGGAAATCTCTTATGGAGAGGTCAGCAGAATGAAAAAGCAGGAAAGCCACCTGTCCAAACAAAGTCAGTTCTTCAGGTATACTCTCAATCCATTTAAAGTCAGAGGGACATTCCATTGTAATGTTTATATCACAACATTGCATCATTTGTCAACAAGGGATGTTGACAATGTGCAAACATTGCAGTACACTTTCAACATAAATTGTTGCAATTCTGCCATTCCGTTCGGCACTATGTCTTCCCTTCCCCTGCCTTCGGACAGTTGGGAAGGGAACCCTGTAAATGGTCCATTTGCTCAGAACTCCTTCGTGCTTATGCAGCAGCAAAAATTGGTGCTCTTTTGGTCAGCACTCTGCTAAAAACCTGTGTTACAAGACCTACTGAGAACCAGCAAGGCTGTGGAGTCACTGGGCAAGCATCACTTGCCTAGGAGAAACCGACATTAGAATTCAGAGTTTGTTTAAATCTTGATTTACTATCTCAAGGTAAACAATTTCTGCTCTTGCAACTGTATACACTGGAAGAGTAATAAAAATATTGTGCTAAAATTAAACAAGGTTTGTTTACTCAGGAACTTCCTTATCTAATTGTTTTTTTCTCCTCCTAGAATGAGCTTTATTATTTATTTGTATTATTGAAGCACCTAGAGCCACAGTGTAAAATATGAACTGGTGCAGAAGAATGCTGACTGGCTAATCATCATAGCCACTTCAGGGATTATTTATATGGAAAATTTTACACATTTAAGTGAATCTGCCTGTGGTCACTCTTACAGTTTAAGATTTGAGCTAAATTTGAACTAAAGACATTTATTCAGTTTAGTATGCATGCCCACAAAGCATAGTTTATGACAAGGGACTGAAGATAGACTTTCATACCCTATCTAGTTTTAACAGAGAGCAAAGAGTAACAGTCAATACAAGTTACAGTTATTATGAGTTTAAAGGCAACCCTGAAATTCCTAGGGCAAGGGGAGGCATGCAAGGAGAGAGAAAAAGTTGTGCTTCCCAAACCCTTCTCACCAAGGCCTGGTCCACACTACCCCCCCACTTCGGACTAAGGTACGCAAATTCAGCTACGTTAATAACGTAGCTGAATTCGAAGTACCTTAGTCCGAACTTACCGCGGGTCCAGACGCGGCAGGAAGGCTCCCCCGTCGATGCCGCGTACTCCTCTCGCCGAGCTGGAGTACCGGCGTCGACGGCGAGCACTTCCGGGATCGATCCGGGATCGATTTATCGCGTCTAAACCAGACACGATAAATCGATCCCAGAGCATCGATTGCCTGCCGTCAGACCCTCTGGTAAGTGTAGACGTACCCCAAGTTTAGCAGTTGTGAGAAGGTGCCACATTGACAGTCCTGGTTACTGAAGTTCTCTTCATCTACAGATCAGGTACAGCCTGGCAGGAGTACTAAAGATCTCCTTATAGTCCTCCACCAGACTGCCTTATCCCTTTCTTGAAGAGGCCACCTTTAAGGGAAAAAGGGGAATTTGTATTGCATTCAATCCTCTTTTGAAACTACCAAAATGCCAGCCAGTGGTGGGTGTTTAATGTGCGCACTTACTAACATGAAGGCTGAGACCATTCACATACAGAGAGAGTCTTTGAATGGTGGCAGCTTAAGTCTTGTTTACACTGGAGAATTGTGCCACATGAAAGTGAAGTGTTATTACTGGCCCATGTGTACCTGGCACATTACAGGGAGTTCACATCACCAATCCTATTTTGCTTGCATTTATCCCCACAGACACTGCAAGTGCATTGCCTTCTGGAAACTTATCCCACATTTCTTGGCACTATGTGCATTGGCTTGGGGGAAATTAATATGCCCTTGAATGACTGGTGTGCTGCAGGACATTTGTAATACTCATAGTAGACAGCCAATGCTTCTTGTCTATGCTAGTAACTCATTACAAGAGCACTGGGTAAGGATAACATTTAGGAGTTGCACAGGTCAATAATTTTATTTAATCACACCCAAAACTCTCCATTGTAGGTGAGGCTGCAGTTCCTAAACCAGGTGGTTTAATGGTGAAAAAGCTCCATATTCCTTGAACCATCCAGCCACCTGAAGGCTGTACAATCCAACTGAAGCTGAAGGACTGATTCATAATTTATTTAAATGTGGATCAACACAGCAAGAATAATTTGTAAGTTATAACTTTTAATTAGTCATCCCCCTGTAACTCCCCCCTCCAACACCTACCAACTTGAGAACCAAACTGACTAGCCAGGGTAAAATATGTATGGACAACCATGCTTACCCACAACTCCATCATACATGCCTTAATCCTTTAAATTGTTGGTAAGTGTGTACTATCTTTCAGTGTAATATTGCTCATCGATGCAAAAAAGTATTTGAATGCTAGTAGCTATAAAGGCATAAAGATATTTGCCAAATAGTAATGCAATAGTTTTATATGTTAATATTACAAGAAAGTATTTGTCAGAATAAATTTAACAGATCAGTGGCATATGTCAAATGTTATATCTAATACTACTCAAGACACTCCTACTTAAGCCTCTTGCTTTTGGAATTCTTCTTAAGATAGAGGATGGCTTCTTTTCCATGTGTTGTCTTCAATGCCTATTTCCTACTCTTGCTCCTACATCTCCTTATTGTATTTCTCTCACCTTATTAGAAGTGTGTGTTCTTCTCCCACACACAAGTCTCTTTATGGACACAACCACCAAAAATGAAAGTCAACATTCTACTGGTGGCATCTGACTCAGATAATGAAAATAAACATGCATCTGTCTGCACTGCTTTGTATTATCAAGCAGAACCCGTCATCAGCATGGACACATGTCCTCTGGAATGGTGGTCAAAGCATGAAGGGACATATTAATCTTTAGTGCCTCTGGCACGTAAATATCTTGCGACACTGGCTATAACAGTGCCATGCAAATGCCTCTTCTCACTTTCAGGTGACATTGTAAGCAGGAAGCGGGCAGCATTATCTCCTGCAAATGAAAACAAGCTTGTTTGTCTGAGCGATTGGCTAAACAAGAAGTAGGACTGAGTGGACTTGTAGGCTCTAAAGTTTTACATTGTTCTATTTCTGAGTGCAGTTATTTTTTGTATATAATTCTACATTTGTAAGTTCAATTTTCATGATAAAGAGATTGCACTAAACTTCTTGTATTAGGTGAACTGAAAAATACTATTTCTTTTTACAGTGCAAATATTTGTAATCAAAAATATAAAGTGAGCACTGTACACTTGGTTTCTGTGTGGTAATTGAAATCTATATATTTGAAAATGTAGAAAACATTCAAAAATATTTAAATAAATGGTATTTTATTAACAGCACAATTAACCAGATGATTAATCACAATTAATTTTAATCATATGATTAATTACAAATTTTTTTTAATTGCTTGACAGCCCTAATTTGAACACCAACTAGATTCTTCTGTTTCACAGCTACTGTTCACAACTCTGTGGACAGCACTAGAAGCTGACAAGAATCTAGTTGCTTTTCACTCTGCTGCAGCTTGACAAGACTATGAGCAACAGTGGCCCTGAAACTGGCCATTATCACACAAAGGATCAGACCCAGTAACCACTGATGTTATAGGAAGCTTTCATTTACATCAATGGACAATAACCCTAAAATAACACTACACTGATTTACACTTTGGTAGATTAACACACACAGCACCATGAGGACCTGACATTTCAAACAGAGAGTTACGTGAAAGTTAAAGTTCTATAGATTTTGATGGCACTCAGCTACTACCCCTGCTTTAAAAAAGGACAAACAGAAGTAGTCTACTAACACAGATACTCTAGGGCTGCTGCAGCTGCTACTAGGTATTCAATGGAGAGAAGTTTGTCCAACTATACTGTATAGCAAGCAATGTGTTCAGTCTCAAATTAAAGAGGCTAAAATCCAGAGATGTGCCCTTTCATAGCACAGTCTCAGAGTATTCAATGTCAGACTATATAGAAATCATTTCACCCACAGCTGAAGCATAAGTAACCTGGGTGAAAACAATGCACCTCTTTGACAGCAATCTCACTGACTTTGGCCCAGATATTTAGGTTAATCCCTATACTCTTAAAGATCTACTGGCTCTTTCCACAAATAGCCAGGATGCTTCACCTCTCTGCAGGAAGACTGTTCCTCACTCAGGCCAGTGAGCTGACCACTCTAAGGTACTGGTTCACTTCCATGCCATGGGAAGAGTGCTATCTACTGAAGCCACCAGCACTAATCCATGCAGAACTGTATATACCTCTAAAGAATAGCCAACAAGCTGACCAACTGTACTACAGTTAACAAGATCAATCATGATCACAGCAAAATACCTAGCTCTTACATTGTGCTTTTTTCATTAGCAGATCTCAAAGAGTTTTAGAAAGGAGGTCAGTACCATGATCACATTTTACAGATGGGGACACTGAGGCACAGAAAAGTAAAGTGATTTGCCTGAGGTCACCCAGCAAGCTAATAGCAGAGCAGAAGGTAGTACAGTTTGCAAGGAAGTTCAGAGTTGAGGATGTAAAGATCTTCTATCAGTCCTAAAGTAGCAAACTGACTTTAAGCCTTACTTTGGTAGTGGTGTTTCGGTCATTTTGGAAAGATTTATAGTGATCTTTGGAAGATTAACAAGTTTACAGATCACATTAGCTGCAACACACACAAGCACTTTCAAGACAAGACAGTGGACTGTCATGCCCCAAACACCAGCAATACTGGACACCTCCACCCTGACAGTTCTCCACTCAACAAGCGCATAACTCCTATTGTTTGAGCTATACAGTGATGGGAGGAGGGATCACTTGAACTGTACATTCACTTTCTTTTGTATGTGCATGCAGGGCCGGCTCTGGCTTTTTTGCCGCCCTAGGCGAAAAAGCCTCCGGCCGCCCCCCCCTCCATGGGGGGGGGGGCAGCCGGAGCCCCGGCGGGGGCTCGGCTCTCCCCCCGACCCCGGCGGCCAGAGCGCCGGGGGCAGGGCCGCGAGCCCGGCTGTGGCCCCGCTCTCCCCGGCGGCCGGAGCGAGGGCGTGGGGGGGGAGGGCGGCCAGAGCGCCGGGGGGAGGGCGGCAAGCCCGGCTGTGGCCCCGCTCTCCCCGGCGGACGGAGCGCCGCGCCGCCCCCCTCCAGGTGCCGCCCCAAGCACCAGCTTGGGTGCCTGGTGCCGGCCCTGTATGCATGTGCAGGGGCTAGCTTAACACAGCCAGATACTTCCTGAGGGCCTGAGCATCAAGCAGCCAGTTTAGATTTTTTTTTACTGATAGCGAGTCTTATGATTTGACAGACCACTACCGCATCACGTTGTGCCGGCATCCTCTCCTGCAACTATGAACGAACATTTAACCAGCAGTATGTTGTAATCAGTCATAGGGGAGGGTATGTTTCCTATTGCAAAGGAACAGGGTTCAGCCTCTGGGGACAGCTCTGCAGCTTGTAAAGATGATGTTCAGGTAGGTCATAAAAACACCGAAGAGTACTTAAGGTGCCACAAGTACTCCTCATTCTTTTTGCAGTTACAGACTAACACAGCTACTACTCTGAAACATGTAACTCAGGTGCTGGAACTAGGGGTGCTGCAGCACCCTCTGGCTGGAAGTGGTTTCCATTATGTACAGGGTTTACAGCTTGGGTCAATGGCTCTCAGCAGCCCCACTATACAAATAGTTCCAACACTTCTGACCTAACTAGGGAAACTGGGCACTTGAGACGCCTCAGGCTGACTGGGGGACGCGCTGGGCACTACAGGAGTAAGCAGCCCTGGAAACCCAGCCAAGCACACAGCTGCGCTCCGCAAGGAACAGGCGCTTGCTCTGCGAAGATCCCTCAGCCCCGGGACGGGTCACTAAAGCAGTCCCTCGGGTGGCAGAAAGCGACGCGGAGATCCAACCCACCCCTCCGCTTTCATTGCGCTCCTCGCAGCGGCTCTCAGCAGGGGCCGTGGCGGAAAGCTCCGCAGCCCCCTGCACAACGCGGCTCATCGCTGGCTTGTAACCGCTGCTGCCGCGCCCCCCGGGGAGGACCACCCACCGCAGGCTGGGACGCACGTGGGGTAACAACGCCGCTGGGGCAGCAAGCTAAGCTAAGCTAAGCTAAGCTAAGCTAAGCTAAGCTAAGCTAAGCTAAGCTCCCCTCCCCGGTCCCGGCCGCCGCCGCCTCACCGCTGCAAGCAGGCGGGCTCCCTCGCGCAGCCACCGCGTCTCGCTCCCGGCCGGGCTCACGCGCCGGGCCGCCCTCCCGATTATTTTATACTCCACCACCCCGCACGTGACCGACCGCGGGGCTCGCCCTCCCCAGCCGGGAGGATTCCCACTCCCTGCCCCCGCCCCGGCCGGCTGACGGACACTCCCAACGGGAAGCTAGAGGGGGCAAAGCTCCTCCCAGCGGCGGCGCCTCGCAACGCGCTCGGCGCCGCAGTCCCTCCCGTGTGTGTCCCTTGCGCGTGCTCGGAGCCGCAGCAGCTGGGCCATGGGTTCTATTGAGCCAGGCATCCGCGCGCGCGCACACACACACAGAGAGAGAGCTGGGTAATACCCCAAGGGGTAGTTCTGCTGCAGATCCTGGCAGACTGGGTAACAGGGGGTCTGATCTGCATCTGAGCCCTCTCCAAAAGCTCTGCGTGTGAACACCCTGGGAGTACTGCAGGGAATGAACTAATAAGAGACCTTGATGTGTGAGGGAGGCTCGGCATACCGACATTAAACGGCCTAGTGACCTTAATAATAAATAATACTTATATAGGATCGTTCATTTGATGAGCTCAAAGCCATTTAAAGTTATGAGTATTTCCATTTTATAGAGGGGGGAAAACGGGGGCACAAAGATGTTAAGTCATTAGCCTAAGGCCACACACCGTGGGGAACAGAGTTATGTTTCCAGTCTATCAGTCGCGGACCCAACCATCTATTATCTTACAAAGCGGGCACAATATGTCAGATCCAGATATGAATATAATTGAAGACACAAGAACTCTGATAAATGTAACCCCTCAAAAAAATATAAAGTCATCAGAAAAAATATGCTTTTTTTCCCCCAGTTACTTCAGCTTATATACAAATACAATACCACTGAAAGGAAAGTCTGAGTGACTGTACAGCCATAGGGGCTGAAGTACTACTTTGGTTCAAGAGCCTTACATCCACCACTCTCTTCCCAGATCTGTTCCACTTCTTTGCCTATATTTAATCCCCATAATATCTGGCAACTTGCAGTTCTGCCTCAGCACTGGAGAATGGTCCCATGATGCTGCTTGAAGCCTTGCAGGAGCATGTGAAATCGTTAAATCGTTAAATAGTAGTATACAGTGTTGAGACATTAGTGACTCTGTATTGCATTTGGTGAAAGGTCAGGAGCTACAAGTGCAGTGAGAAAACCATTCAACCCAATAGGGTGGATCATCGGGTTCCAGGAATGGGCAAATTTAAACCTTAGCAATTATTGTGAAACCAAGATGACATAGAGAGGGTGTAATAAAGCATGTATTATTGTAGATTACTGTCTCTGCTTAACTTATTTTCTATATATTAAAATATGATAATTCTAAAAATGAAATTGCAGCATATAAAAAGAAGAAATATAGTAGTTCCCTGTCTATACAGCTGAATAATCAGAATTTGCTGGTCTTGTGTTCCAGTTTGTGTTGTCTCTAGTGAATGAGTTCTTTCTGATCTTAAGTAAGGCATCATTCTGCAGATGGGCTTTAGCAATGGGTATGCAATAGAGTTGGTCAGGAATTTTACAACTAAATGTCAAAAAATGCTGATTTGTCAAAACCAAAACTTCATGGGAAAGGTTTGATTTCTACACATTTTAACATTTTCTAAACAGAAAGTTCAATTTTTTGCTTCAAAACAATTTTTTTCATTTTGAAATTTAATTTACAGTAAAAAAATTTAAATAAAAAGGTTGAAATCAAAAGGAAACAGTTACATTGACCTAACCTTTTTTTTAAAAAAATTTTTAGTTTGTGAACATTTTTGAGATTGCGATTTTTGTCCTGATTCGGTATGGAAATTTAAAAAAAAAATCTACATTTTCCCAGGACAGGATACCCATTTCCTGCCTAGCTCTAGTATATACTATCTGAAGGGGTTCACTTATTTGCATGCTCACACAGGCCTCTTTTTCTTCCATACTAACTCCAGCCTTTTTCTCATTTTCAGAGCACTCCATAACTGCTCTGCCTGTACCTCTCTCCCACACATCCAGCCACACCTTTGGCTCCACCTAAGCTTTTCTCCCTTTGTCTCCTTAGCCCACTCATGGCTCTGTGCCATCTTTCACAACACCCTGACTGCCTGGAACAGCCTCCCATTAAAGCCAAGCCCCCACATTCTCTTTCTTCAAAAAAAAAGTCAATAATCTACCTCTTCCCAGCTATAATTACCACACAACACAGTGTCTGTAGTGCAGCCAACTAGACTATCTCATGTTTCCAAATTCTTCAAGGCAGAGTCCTGTTATTTCTTCATCATAGTTTACCAGTTTTACAGCCCCTTGTTGTACACTCCCAGCATTATATAAAGAATACTAATCTATTGAGTTTTGCTCTTTAAAGTTTGGAAGCAGTGTTGCCATGACCATGGGTTTCCCATGATTTAGGCACATCTTTTTCTTTCTTTTTCAGGTGGCCTGCTGCAGTTAGTAATGTTGGGGTTGAGTGTTGGGGTTGAGTGTGTTGGCAATCACCTTTAGATAAAATTAATGTGTATGATGTGAATTGGTTTTGTCAATGATTTTCTTGTAGCAGAATATATTTTACACCATCTCCTCTGCCGGGATTATTTATCCTGGAAAGGTAAAGCACTGGGGGCAACTTGACTGCAGAATTCAAAGTTTTGAAGGATCAAGCCACCTCTTCATCCTGCTCCAGAATACAAGACCAAAGAGAGCCTTGGCTAAATGGGTTGTAAATGCAGAATCAATAAAAGGAACTTCTACTTCATGCAGCACATAATCGATCTGTTGAATTCACTGCCGCAGGAGGTCAAATCCTGTTACAAGACTTATAAAAGGGTTGGACAATTTAAAATAATAGTGTTAATTACTAGTTAATTTGGATATGGTTTGAAAATAGGAGCCATACAAGGCAAGATGGTGTAAGGGTGATAATTTATCATGCTTCAGGGCACCAATGATAGCTTAGACAGGCAAGGAAGAAGCATGTACACCCTTTATAGCATTGCACAATTGCCTAAGTGTACTAATATTTACTTATACAGGGATGAAGTGAGGAATAATATTTGGAAAGTGTTTTGAACTGAAAAGGGTTAAGATTTACTAAGTATTATATCCCCCTGTATTCTCCACAAAACATTCGCAGTTCTGCCTCCGAAACCTCATCTTCTTTGTGCACTTCTCCAGATCTTGTTCTCTTTTTCATATTCAAACTAGAAAAAATGTATGTCGCATATATTCACTATTGCCAACTCTACAAGGAACTGGACACTAGTAATTCACTATTGAAATATTGTAATTTGATCTGTTGTACAGATGCTATCCTTCAGTAAAATGTTTTCTAAATGAACTGTCAAATGGTAGTGTGACAAATTGTGCTCTAATAGCTAGTATGTAGCCATTGTGCGTATGGTTCCTGGGAAAGTTATTCCTTTTTTCTAGTTCCCCTTTGCTTGGAAAGCATAGTAGTGAGGATACAAACATGAGGTCTGGTCCTCTACTCCAATACACACATTTTATACCAGTGTAGGGATTTACACTGGCATAACAGAGTGAAGAGTCAGGCCCACGTTCTCCAACAGAACCCTCTATGAACCTTAGTAAAGTAGATCTGAATGCATGCCAACAGGAAGACAAAATGGAAAGGCCTGCTGCATGGTCTATTTGTGAACACTGTGAGCCCAACTTACTGATGGGGTAGGACTAGTTTGTACTGTGCAAAACAGTACTAAAGCAAGCTTAGCCAGCTGCTAGAGGAGGCCTCCTGAAGAGGTGAATCAGGTGATATAGAGCTGTTGGATTGGCTATTATGCCATGCCCTTCCCAAATGACATATGGGCATGGCCAGAGGAAAGCGTGCATGGCCAAGGCTCCCGTACTTACTAATGCTCAGTTGCTGGGGTGGCCCCTGGGGCCCATTGACAGCCACCACAATTTAGAAAAGCTTTCAGGTTTCTCTAAGTTACACAGAAGATTGGACTGGCACACAGATGGCCCCAAGATCGGGGGGGGGGGGTCAAAAAGGTGGCTTAAAGCCACCTTTACACACAATTCTCCTGAGATGCATCAAATGGTCCTTGGCCACAGCCCAAGATCTGGGCCTGTTTATTGTGTCTTTTTGCTAAAATAACAGAAGCAGTTTTGGTTTGGTCTTAAATACAAGATAGTGAATAAGGTGTGCATACAATGGTGTTACAGCAGTTTCACAGTGATTTAGCCCCTAATCCACCAAAGTACTTAACCATGTACTGAAGTTGGACTGAGATTCAGTTAATCAACAGATGGGTCTAACAAATACGTATTAGGGCAAAAACACTCAGCAAGTAGTGATCCATTACTTACAAGTGGGAAGCTCATTAGGACGATGCCATCACAGTCGCTTCTAGCACTGGACAATACAGCTTCAATCTCCCTTTCTTACACAAACTTATTTATAACTTTTTGTTATCTTTTCTTATACATATGTATTAGTCTCTTGTTTCCATTTTAACTCTCCTCCCCTATTAGGGTTGCCAGGCATCCGGTTTTCAAAAGGGGATCCTGGCTGCTCCAGTCGGCACCGTCGACTGGACTATTACAAGTCCAGTTGGCGGCGCAGTGGGGGCCCAGGGCTAATGCAGGTTCCGTGTCTGCCCTAGCTCTGCGTGGCTCCCGGAAGCGGCCGCCAGGTCCCTGCGGCCCCTAGGACCTGGGGCGGCACCTAAGTCGGGGGTGGGGGTGTCGGGGCAGAAGCCCCATGCCCTGGCAGGTGCCGCCCCAAAGGGGAGGAACCCCACTTCCCGGCAGGCGTTGCCATGGGGGGCAGGTTGTGTGTGTCTTGCAGTTCTCAAACAGCTGAACATTATTGTATGCAGCTCAAAGGGTCGGTAAGTTTGGCCACCCCGGTACTAGGGGTAAAATCCTGGCCCCATTGAAGTCAATGACAAAACTGGATATTCTGCACTTGATTTTTACTGCCTTTCACCTTGTGTAACTTTTTTATACCTGTGCAAATTGTTCATAAACACTACCAAATCAGAATTCTCTGTTCACACCAGCTGTAGCATTTTACATCCATTTTGCATT